TTCTTCTTTATTTTTAATCAAATTAACCAAAAGTTTATCTATTTTATATTTTTTAAACAGCTGAGTTTTATTTATTAGTTCTTTTTTTACTTTCAATTTTAATAATTTTTCTGTGGTTTTCAGGATTTCTATTTTATGTTTAATTGGGGTTTTTTAATTCATTTTTTTCTAGGGTTTTTTGGTACATGCCCAATTTGTTGCTTGTCCTTGCTCTCTTTTAGTGATGTGTGCATTTAGCAATATAAAATTTTCCGTAAGTACCACTTTGGCTGCAACCCAGAAATTATGGTATGTTGTCTCATTGTTATCATTATCTTTAATTAAATTATTGATTGTTTCTATAATTTGTTCTTTGACCCACTCTTTCTTTAGGATTAGGTTATTTAGTTTCCAATTAATTTTAATCTATGCTTCAAAGGTCGTTAGTTGAATATAATTTTATTGCATTATGGTTAGAAAAAAAAATATTTAATACTTCTGTTTTTCTCCATGTTTGTGAGGTTTTGATGCCCCAATACATGGTCAGTTTTGTGAAGATGCCATGCACAGCTAAGAAGTAAGAATACTACTTTCTATTCTCATTCAGTTTTTTCAGAGGTCTAACATATCTAACTTTTCTAAAATCCTATTCATGTCTTTAATTTCTTTGTTTATTTTTATGATTAAAATTGAGGTACCCAACTATTATAGTTTTACTGTATCTTCCTATAATTCACTTGACTCTTATTTCAGGAATTTGGATGTTATGCCATTTGGTAAAGTATTGATACTAATTCAGTATTTATTATACCTTCTAGCAAAATGTTGTTTCTTTGTTTATCTCTTTTGTTTGGGTCTATTTTTTCCTAATCTGAGATAATGATTGTAACCTTTATTTTTTTTAACATCGGCTGAAGTATAATAGAGTCTATTCCAGTTTGTTATTTAAATTTCATGTGTATCTGTTTCAAGTGTGTTTCTTATAGAAAAACATTGTTGGGGTCTATTTTCTAATCCTTTCTGCTATCCTCTTCCATTTATGCATAAGTTCATTCCATTCACATTCAGTTATGATTAATAACTATTTATTTCCCTCCATCCTATTCTCTAATACTTAGCATTCTCTTGTTGCCCTGTCTCCTCCTCAAGAGTATGCTTTGCTTCTGATCCCTGTCTTCCTTAATCTACTCTCTCCCTTATCTTCCCCTCCACTACTACCACTCATTTCTCTTAACCACTTTCACAACTACTTCTCTGTTGGACAAGATGAATTTCTCTATCCAATTGTGTGTGTATGTGTATTCTTCCCTCTTTGAACCAATTCAGATGGAAATGAGATTGAAATGTTGCCTGGTCCCCTCCATCCTGGTCCCCTATTGCATAAGAGAGGAGAGAGTAATAACAATCTGCTGCACACTATCTCTGAGATAATTTCCCCATTCTTTCTCTCCTTCCCCTTCTCTCCCAGTAAATTCCCTTTTCCACATTTGTATTCTTCTTTTGAGATAATCCCAACATAATAGACTAATACTTAGACACTCTGTCTTAGTAGACTCCTCAGACCCTTGTTAGTGATAAAGTTCTGAGGAGCTAGATGCATCATCTCCTCATATAAGAATGTAAATAGTTTAACTTGTGTAGTCTCTTACAATTTCTTGCTCATGTTTACCTTGTTATGCTTCCCCTGTGTCTCATCTTTGGATGTCAAATTTTTCCTTTCATCTCTGTTCTTTCCATTATGAATGCTTAAAATTCCTATATTTCATTAAATATCCTTTTTTTCCCCTCTGTAGGATTGTACTCAGTTTTGCTGGATAGGTTATTCTTGGGTATAATCCTAGCTCCTTTGGTTCTGGAATATCGTAATTCAAGCCCTCAACTCCTTTGTAGTTATAGGTGCTAAATCTCATGTGATCCCAACTATGGTTCCATGATACTTGAATTCTTTTTTTCTTGATGCTTACATTATTTTCTCCTTGACATGGGAGTTCTGGATTTTGACTATATTTTCCTGGGAGCTTTTATATTAGGATTTCTTTCAGGTGGTAATCAGTGGATTTTTTTTCAATTTCTACTTTGCCCTCCATTTTTAATATATCTGGACAAGTGTCCTCTATAATTTCTTAAAACATGATGTGTAAACTCCATTTTTGTTCATAGTTTTCAGGTAGTTCTTTGATTCTTAAATCTCAATCTATTTTCCAGTTTAGCTATTTTTCCTATGAGATATTTCACATTATCTTCTATTTTGTCAGTCTTTTCACTTTGTTTTACTGTTTCTTGATGTCTAATGGAATCACTACCTTCCACTTGACCAAACTTAACTTTTAAAGAGTTATTTTATTCTATGAGGCTTTGTACCTCTTTTTCCATTTGTCCAATTCTAAATTTTAAGGAGTTATTTTCTTCAGTATTGTTTTGTACCTCTTTTGTTTTTGTTGTTTTTCAGTCATTTTTAGTCATGTTTTAATCACATGCTTTTAGTCACTCTTCATGATCCCATTTTGGGGTTTTCTTGGCAAAGATACTGAAGTGGTTTGCCATTTCCTCCTCCAGTGGATCCAATGGATCTTTATGTCAGGCCATCAGAGTTTAAGTGACTGGCCCAGGGCCACACAGCTAGGAGGTATCTGAGGCTGAATTTGAACTCAGGTTCTCCTGACTCCAGGGTTGGTGCTCTATCAACTGTACCACCTAACTACTTCTGCTAGTGTCTGAAGCCAGATTTGAAATCAGGAAGATCAGTTTTCCTGACTCCAGAGCTTTACTCTATTCATTGGACCATCTTTAACCTCTTTAATAGAGCTACCCACAAAACCTCTTTAACAAAGCTGTTAATTTCTTTTTCGTATTTTTTGCATAGCTCTTATTTATTTCCTTAATATTCTCTACCATACTTGTTTAAATGGGGGGGGGGTTGCTTTTAAAAAAAATTCTTTAACTCTTCCAAAAGTTTTTCTTAGGTTTGCATTTTTTCTTTGAGTCTTTGATTGTAGATGTTTCCAAGTCATTGTTGTCTTCTGAGTTTGTGTCTTGAGCTTCCTTGTCACTATAGGAGCTGTTTATTGTTGGTTGCTGTTGTTATTGTTTGTTCATTTCCCCAGCCAACTTATTGACTTCATACTTTATGCTAGTATTGGGCTCTGCTTGCTTCTCAGGGGGGATGTCTAGCCTTAGCTTCTGTCTTTTTATGTTCTACTGCTTTCACAGCTCAGTTTGGGGACCTGTAAGTTTTTAATGCTTCCAAAGTGGTATGATCCGAGGAGAAGTCTGTTCACTGCCCAGTTATGCTATATTCATTCCTCTACCTCATCTCCATTCTTGTGTGCATTCATGAGGGGGGGGAAATCTACTGGATTAAACATTGGATTAGGCTCTGTTAAAGTAATACCAAGTAGCTTTGGCCAAATTCCTTGGAAGGTCACACATCCAGTAGTGTCCTTATTTCCCCACCTATCCTATAAGGCTTGCATTCCTAGTATCCTCCTTCCCAAGTCTGTTGTGATAAAAATGGAGAAATGAATAATGTTTGAACTTTATGAGAAAAGATCCTATATAAATACAGTGTATTATTTTTGCAACACACAGTCAGTCTCACATATATTTTCTTACATTCTAATATACTCAATGATATTGATGCTCATGCACAGTCAGTAGGAAAAAAAAGCACTCAACTGAAAGTGGGAGAGTGCTGTTCACTCTTACTCCTTCATTGACTAGTTGTGGAACCTTGGGCAAGCCCCTTAATTTCTCTAGGTCTCAGTTTATTCATCTATAACATAAGAGGTTTGAAAATGATGATCCCTAAGGTCACTTCCAGCTTGAAAATCTATGGGTTAATGATTCTGATAAATTACAAAAGTAACAATGAATTTTGTCATAATTCAACAAAATTATTTTGAAATTCTTAAATTAAGATAGAACTAAAACTCTTGCCTCCCCCACCACCAATTTAACATCCAATACAATGATCTCACACATACACGTACATCCTTCTATTCTTAATGTATGTACTTCAAGAATCAATGATTATATTAGTGTGGTTAATCATTCCATTACCATGTCATCTTTGACAGATGTTACGTCTCCAGTATTCATCAACCTGTAACCAATTTGGTCAATGGCCCTCCCCAAACATCTCAGATCACACGCTATTGACCAGGCTTATATAATAGCCTTACAGAGCTTGCCCTCCACTAGCACAGCCTTTCAGAACCTAGGATACCATGATGAGGTACTGCAGTAGGACTTATACTCCTCCTATGCAGAATAGCAATATTTACTAGAAATGCATACTGACTACTCTCAAATACTTGAGCATTTAGGCAGTAAACTCAATGAGTGTCACTCAGAAGCATTGTTTACTATGTAAAGTAGAGTTAGTGTAACTGTGACAAGTAAGCCTCTCTATTGAGAAGGAACCACTTCAGCAGCCACGTGAACTAATTCTGTGTTGTCTAGGAGGCCAGACCATGAAAAAGATGTTTGTCCAATATAATCTTGCCAATGCCTCTGCCTTAATGTGTGACTTCTATCATTTGACCACTGTTCTCAGACGACAGAAAGGCAATACTGATTTCTCATCAAAAGAGCCTGCAGAGGAAGTGTCATTATTAAAAATGACTACCAAAAGTCTAGATATAGCCTTTTTTCATTTGTGTTTAGGGGACATTTTTGGATAGATATATAATATCCTGTTACTCAAAAAGGAGAATAATGCATCTGCAGGACTGACTACATCAACAGAGAAGGCATAAATGTGATGTCACTAAACTGAATATAATAAAATGGAAATCAGAGAAATTACACGTTATCATTCTCTGAGACATCATAAACCTGGCACAGATGTTACTGAATCCTATATGCTATTTGAGACAGATCAAGAATATTATCATAGGCCTCACCGAGTATATTCTCAGCCATGAGTGTGTAGGGTCAGTCAAGACAGGGCTGAAAAATGGATCCAGTGAGATGCTACCATGGCGACATACAAACCGCACAGGGAAAGGTGTCTGACTTACTTGCCATTGATGACGCCATCTGGGTTCAGCATCGGGATAATCTTGAAAATGAAGCTTTCCCTCAAGAGCCCAGCAATGGGGTCACTGCTTACCAGGAACTCCAAGGTCCCCTTCATTACCCAGCTAGCATTGCTCTCTCCTGGGTGAACTCGGGCCACAATCACCTGATAGGGACGCTGTCCTGGAAATAATATGAATAAATGGATGAATAAATGTGAATGGATGGATAGATACATAGACAACACAGACACATAGAGATAGATAGATAGATAGATAGATAGATAGATAGATAGATAGATAGATAGATAGATAGATAGACAGACAGACAGACAGACAGACAGACAGACAGACAGACACAGGTAAATAATCTAAAATGACTTGGTTTCTAGGGTCCCAATATTGCAACTATGACTGTGATCGAGATGTGTACAGATAGACAGTTCCTAAAAACATATCTGACCTAGATAATACTAGCACATACAAAGAACACTTGAAGGTGAGCAAGTTACATTCCTCACAAGAGGAAAGGCAGATTGTATAATAATTCTCAAGACAGAGAAACACAGGATTTTATAGGTCATAGAATTATGAAGCTAGAACGGACCTCAGATGTCATCTAGTACAACCCCTCATTTTATATGTGAGGAAACTAAGACAAGAGAGATAAAGCAAGGAACCAATGTCACTCAGGTATTTTCAGAAATGGGATTTGAACTTAAATCCTCTGACTCCAGAGCCAGTTATCTTTCCAGGGTAGGTTGTGATTTGCCTGCCCTCTTCTAAGTAATCCTTGGCAGAGCCTGGACCTCTTCCAACCCAGGGCCATAGATTCTCTCGTATCATTTCTATTGTGCTACATGGCCTTTCATGTATATACTTTTCATCCATATCCAGTCCCACGGCCAATAGAGACTTAAAATAAGGTAGAAATCAGCATCCAGGATAATATCTAGTATAAGAATTTCCTGTGTATGAAAGCAGAGAATAAGAATTTGTCTTCTCACCCAGCAGCCATAATAATAGGACAATAAAATAAACTAAGTTTTATAGGCCATGAAGCACTTAACATAAAATGATGCATGCAAAAGCACTTTACTGACTTTAAAAGGTACCTTATTAGTATTATTGTTAACATAATATCATAATAGGTAGCATGTAGACAGTACTTTAAGGTTTACAAATCATTTTACATATATTATTTCATTTGAGCCTCATAACACACTTGAAAGGCAGGAGTTATTATTATCACCACTTTACAAAAGAGAAAACCAAAAATTCTTGAAGTTAGGTGACTTACACAAAGTCACATATCTAGAAAGTATCTTTGGCAGAATTCCAGTTCAGGACTTCCTGACTCCAAGTCCAACATTATCCACTTAGGTGCCTATGAACGCGAGTTATTATTTTTATTATCTTCTTTCTCATTCTCTTTTTTTCCAGAGGAATTCAGCTGAAAAAAAAATAGTCTTGGCATGGGTCACTATCCTGTTATTGTTGGACAGCTAGGTGGTACAATAAATAAAGCACTGGGCCTGGAGTCAGCAAGACCTGAGTTCAAATCCAACTTCAGTCACTTACTAGCTGTGTGACCTTGGGCAAGTCATTTCATCCCTGTTTGCCTCAATTTTCTCATTTGTAAAATGGGGATGATAATAGCACGTATGTCCCAAAATTGTTGTGAGGACAAAATAATTGCATAATAATAATTATTATTATAATCATAATTGCAAAGTGCTTAGGATAATGCCTGGTACTTAGTAAGTGCTTTATAAATGTTAGCTATTATATTTATAAAATGCCAGCCATTTGTATTTAATGTTTTATAGACTATTGCCCAGATAGATTTAAATAACTTCTCTTTGTAAGTGAATAAAAGTCTTTAGATTTAAGCACATCCTCCATAGGCTCATTGAAAGGACATTTAGCATAGCAACACGGAGAACAGGGATGCTGTTATATGTCACATCATGTTCACTCATGATTTTGATTTCTTTTCCTAGAGCTTTGTATTTTGAAAGTTCTTCATTCCATACAGATTAGAGATTAGGAGTACTTAATATAATATATGCATATATATATAATATATATATATATATATATATATAATATATATATATGTATGTGTGTGTGTGTCTATATACACACACATATATATAAAATATTTTCAATTTGTTTTTCTAGATGAACGTTATATCAAAGCTATTGGGTAACAGTTCTATGTAATAATGGTACAAATCTAGCATATTTTTTTCTCTCTCTCAAGGATTCTTTAAGCTCTTTATTTGTAGTACAGGAATTTTTCATCTGTTAGTTTATGATAGCAAGCATCTGTTGTATAATTCTAACTACCAGGTCACTTCTTGCTAGCTATTTGACAATCCAAGTTAATAAATAAGCACCTGCTAGGTGATGGGTTCTATGCTAAGCACCAAGAATAAAAAAAAAATCCAACAAATAATCCCTGCTCTCAAGAAGTTCACATTCTAATGGGCGGGACAACATGCCATAGACAGGATAAATTGGAGATAATGAATAGAGGGAAAATACTAACATAAAAGAAAATCAGAAAAAGCTTCTTCTAGAAGGTGGGATTTTATCTGGGAGTTGAAGGAAACCAGGAAATCAGGAAGCAGAAATGAGGAGGGAGAGAATTCCAGGCACGGATGATAGCCAAAGAAAATGAATGAAGTTAGCAAATTGAGTTTTTTGTTTGAGGAATACCAAGGAGGACAGAGTCAGTGGATTGTAGAGTGCATAGAGGGGTCTAATATGTAAGGGGAAAAAAGGTAAAAATGAAGATAGAAGGGCTTTAAAAACTAAATTTTTACAGCTTGTGTTGTACAGTTTCTATCATTTCCTGTATCATCATCATCATTACATATCATAGCATAGGAATAAAGATTATACTGGCTTGATAATAAAATAGAGTTCTTTCTCATATCCCACTGCCCTAAAAAGGCACGTGAAATATCTACTTAACTTCCAAACATAAACAGCAGCCTTTGGTGAGCAAAAAGGCAAGGGTCTTTTTGCCTATATTCAATTGGAGCTATTAAGCACCTACTGTGCAATGCACTATGTTAAAAGCTCAGGATATAAGATAAGAGTGAGACAGTACCTGCCCTCAAAGAGTGTATATTCTAGTGAGAGAATCAACATGTTGATATATAGATATATACTAAACATATACAAAGAAGGTAATCTTGGATGGAGCTGGGGAAGGAACTATCACAGAGAAGGTAACATGAATTGTCTTGAAGGGAATCAGGAATTCTAAGAAGTGAAAAAAGGGAAGGCCTTGGGGGGCAGTCATGGCAAAGATTTAGACAGATAGTATGTTTCACAGAGGAAAAAAAAGAAAAAGTCAATACTGCTGAAGCATTAAGTGAATAAAGGAGAAAGATATGCACTATTGTCGGAAAGGAGAAATAGAGCCAGGGTGTGAAGAATTTTAGATCCCAAAAAAAGAATTTTATATGTGATTCTAGAGATAACATGGAGTTACTATATCTGATTGAGAAGGGTTTGCAGCAAGGTCAGATCTTTGATTTAGAAAATTCATTTTGGTGGCTATGCAGAGGATAGATTGGAGTGCAAAGTGATATGAATAATACCTCTCAGAACATAAATAAATATGAATCTGTACCATATGGCTTTTCTGTCTCAAAGTATAAGCTGGATGAATATAGAGCCTATATCTCTTATTCTAGATAACAATATCTCTTATTAAAGATGCCAAAAGTATCTTTAATCAGGAAACATTAAAATTTCTTGATGATGAATGAATGAGTGAATGAAAGGGGGGAAAAGAATTTATTGAATGCTTACTATGTGCCAAGCACTGTGCTAACAGATGAAGAAAAAGAAAGAGGAAGAGGAAGAGGAGGAAGTGGAGGAGGAGAAGGAAAAGAAAAAGAAGAGAGGAACTCCCTGTCTTTGAGGTGTTTCCATTCTAATCAAAGAAGACAATATAGATAGATATAGATATAGATATAGATATAGATATAGATATAGATATAGACATAGACATAGACATAGACATAGACATAGACATAGACATAGACATAGACATAGATATAGATATAGATATAGATATAGATATAGATATAGATATAGATATAGATATAGATATAGATATAGATATAGATAGATATATGTAGGAGTGGTGGCTAAAGAAAGGAGTGTTCAAGGCATCACAAGCATGGTGAGTTGATTCTCCCTTAGGGTAACTGCCCTTTATATCTTTCCAAGTGCAAGGGCAGTATGGTAGCATTCATTTCCTTGCTGGGCACAGAACAAGTAGGTGAAGAGTGGAAGGGTATCCAGATGAAGCAGCAGGGCAATACTGCAAGATAAGTAAGGAAGACAATGGATATGAAGAACGATCTAATGTGAGGGTCCGGAGTGGACACTGGCTAGATAGATAGAATGCACTGAATTTGTACTCAATCATTAACCAATCAAAATAACTCAGCCTGCTATTCTAACAAAAGATTACTTTTCCCCAGGGTTATTCCCTCTGCTCTCTATCCCCAACACACATATACACACATACTTGGGATATTTATTCAGGCATCCAGTCCAGAGGTAGCACAACAAGGACAGATGACAAAATGGTTGAGATGGACAGCTACACATAAAGCATGATCTGGTATGATGGCCGGGGATAGACTAGTTAGATATCAATCAGGCAAACAGTAGTTGAGTTTGCATTGAATTAAACACCCATCCAAATGGTTCAACCTGATGGTGCAAGAGGAAAGCTGCTCAGTGACACAAATGAAGTAGAAGCAAGCTGTAATGGAAAGAACACCAGAATGGAAGCCAATTGGCCTAAGGTTGTCTTGAAATTTGACTGTATAACTTAACAAGCTGTATGACCTTGACTTCCTTGGTTCTCAGTTTTCTTACCTGTAAAATGATGGAGTTGGATTAATATTCTTTAAGGCCCCTTCCAACCTGTAAAATTCTATGACATTAATCATAATGTCAGTATGCCTGATACAACTGTGAATAAATTATTACTTTTACCTACATCTGTATATACAATATATCCAATCACATCCATACATGAGCTCATCTTTAGGTGTATGGATCAAAGATCAGTCTGGGAGCTAGGAATACCTAAATTATGCTTCTGGATTCATGCTGATTTGTTTGGGGACTGTTGTGTCACTCATG